GCACAGAGCCTGCTCACACAGACGACGCCGTTTGGTGGCCACAGTTGTACCAATGACACAGTTTTCGGTGACATCACTAAACTAAGTAATCTAGTTAGCCTGTTCTCAAGATGCCATCATGCTGACAATCCTCTAAAATACGGGCGGTGTGGCATATACCCCTGCTGAACAGCCTGGTGGGGGTACAGCAGGAATGTGGCCTTCTACAAAATACCTGGGCTTCCCGAAAGCGCCGTCTCCTCTGCCATTCTCCTGCCGGGTGAAACCGGCTTCCCCTGAGCCCATCAGTACTCTCACTGTGCTGACAGTACACAAGGCTGAGGAGCCAAGTGAGAGTTCATGGGGAAGTGCCATTTAAGTGCTTCTTAGGAGAAGGTTTGAAATCCTAGGTCCCTGTGGTCTGAGCCATCTCATCTAGGCCAGGGTTACTCGTTACTGTCAGCCTCGGCTGAGACCCCAGGTGATGTCAGCGAGCATGGCTGGCCCAGCACACAGGGAGGAACAGGGTGGAGCTTGCTCAGGAGAGCAGACCCTGTTTCTCTTTGGTTGTAAAATAATGGCTTCCGGGTTAGTAAGGCCTTGCAGTGCCTTGGGAAGGGGGCTAAGAGGTCACCTGCTGAGATTCCTACTCTCTACAAAGAGAAAGGAAGAGAGCCACGTTAGCAAAATTTCTACCCATACAGCGGGTTCTTATTTCTTCACAGCCAATCTTTAAGGTAAACCCAAGATGAAGCAGAGGCCAAGCACAAACTGTCTGTTCTGCCTCTAGCACTGACTTCTCATTCCCAGCACCCCTCCCAGGCCTCCACTCTCTCCCTACTACAAGCTCACTGAGTTGGCTGAGACCATGGACTAACGGAACTGGGGAGGTCAGTGTGTGCATCTCGGTACCCCCAGGCTTTTCCAGACGCGGATTCCCCAAGGCCTCAGATTTCCTCGATGAGACACAGTGGTGGCACCTATTTCAAAATTCTGTCAATAACAGCACAGCAGAGCTTGGTGTCTCCCCACAGCGGTGCTCCGCAGGTGTGAGATGTGTTTCCACTGAAGACCAGAGAAGAGCTACATTCCACATTAAACTATAAGCAAGGCTGTAAGGGAACGTGACGCCAGAAGGAAAGAGGCATGTGGATTAAAAGGCAGCTTAGATGGTATGCCTAGGCTTCGGTCCCCAAAACGAATCACAAGAAGACAGCAAAGCTGCTGTCTGGAACCTGAGGTAGCAGGGAGAGCACTGTTCTCATCAAGACAGCCAGAGTGGGGAGGTTTGCCTCCCCCCCCCCCCCGTTGGGGTTCCCATCTGTTACATAGCATCCTGAGATGGTCTGTGCATCCCCTTCTCACGGGGAGTGATTTGGTGCCTGCTCCCTTCTCATAGTTTTGGCAGAGACCCGCCTGCCCACAGTAAACTGCCCTCACCAGAGTCTGTGCAAGAGACTGCACCATTTCCAGAACTATCCAAGAGGATGCCTGCCACTGCTGTAGTGTTGGGAAAGAAAAGTGAAACCAGCACAGGCACAAGGAGACAGCTAATCCTTCACCACAAGGGGGAAGCAGCGGCCCACTGTGAGGAGAGCCACCCTTGGAGGCTGGGCGTTTGGGGAAGCAGCTCACTGCCTTGCCTGAGGAGTTTCTCTTTGGCATTGATAAATCCCATTTCACTGGTCTCCATGTCATCATTCAGCACTGAAACAAAACCGGTTTAATAATTGTCATAAGCAATATTTGCATTGAATCTTTATTCTATTTACCCCAATTTTAAAAGGTATGTTTCCAAAAAACCAGTAAAATTGATTTATAGATTTTACTTGTCTAATTAGCCTGTGATTTCAGTGCATACATGGCACATGTCCAAGCTGGAACGCACACTTTCCTCTTGTGGCATATTTGTGGTTCAAAACAGTCTGTCTATGCAACAACTAAAGTTATTCCAACAAAGTTTATTAATCCTGAACAAGGAAGAGGGGGCTGAGTGCTGACAACGCTCTCTCAAGATTTAACCACAGACCATATAGTGCAGAAGAAAAAAAGATAGACAGCAATAATGTGAAGACTGCCTGCCCACATTTACCGTGCAAAACCCACACCTACCGTGTCCCTCCAATGCGTCCTGCTCTGGCGAACCACCAGGGCCTGGTTATACCGTGGCAGCTGCATGTATCCTCCTTTCTACCCAGCTCCTAGGGTGCTGAGACTCGGCCACACAGGTCATGATGCCCACTCTAGAACATTAAAGACGAAGATAACCTGTGCCTTTGAGTTACTAGGGTCGGGTGGTCACTGATTTAATCTTAAAGGTACAGTAAGTTACTATTCATTAAAAAAAAAAAAAAGCATCATTTTCAGAAACCCAATCTACACCTCTTCCTAAGAATAGTTTTTCGACAGCCTACAGAATGGAAAAAGACCTTCACCAACCTCACATCAGACAGAGGTCTGATCTCCAAAATATACAAAGAACTCAAGAAATTGGTCATCAAAAGAACAAATAATCCATTTTAAAAAATGGAGTACAGACCTAAATAGAGAACTCTCAACAGAGGGATCTAAAATGGCTGAAAGACACTTAAGGAAATGCTCAATATCCTTAGTCATCAGAGAAATGCTTCTTTCTGTTTATAGGGAATTTCCTTTCGAAGAGCGGCGCTGCCTGGGGAGATCATGAACACGGCAACATCCCATTCTCACAGCATTTGGGAAGGTGAATTTGATTAAAATCTACGTGTCGTCTCCACCTCTCCCGTCAGGCATTTGATGGTAAGTGAAACTAGCAATTGCCCATGCTGTGATCTCATTTGTGCTGATTGACAGAGTCAGGTAAGACTGAAACACAGTGTCCGGTCCAGGGAATCTTGAGTCTGGCAGCTGTCAGGACCAAGGCTGGCATTCGTGCTTGGCTCTGAATGCATTGTCTGCAAAGGTGTTTGGCTGATTCCCTCTGATGAACGATACAATAAAGGCCATGCCGCTAAATTTCTCTGGTGACAAGAACCTAAACTGACTTCACATCAGGGTTTCCCACATTGCAGAGACTTCTTGAATGAATAAATTCATGTAAGTGGAGACAAGGACACCATAGGTAACATCTGTCTTAGGCCCTGTGGAGTAGAGGTATCCTATGTACCTATGTGTTCTGGTGACACGGGGCAGAGAACAGGGACACTGAGGACACAACAGTGCTCTGTAGTGCCCCATCTCACTGTTCATGCAGACCAATGCCTGCGTTAGACACAGCAGAACTCACCTTTTAATTTATATTGAGAGCTGGAGGCAGATAGTGGGGTATTCAGTCCTGTTTGGTGTCCCTACAACGATACAAAGGAGAAAGCTTGTGCAGGCGGCATCTTGGGAGCTAGGGCTGCTTTCGTATCACCTGGAGTCCTGCCATATGCAAGGCTGCCTTTGGCAGTGGAGGTTTGTTAACTTTTAGATATTTGTCTTTTCTTTTAAAAGGAACAGTAAGTTTGAAGAGTCTATCAGCCAGTAACCTCTAGAGCAGCAGAACTCAAGGACGAACACGGTAAAGGGGATTTATGGGGTTGACTTATCTGGTATGGTCTGGGGAGCCCAACAATGGTTCTTTATTCTCCAAGACTGAATACTAGGTAGCTGCTGTCGAGCTGTGGGGTCTCCGAGGCCTCAGGATGGCACAGGAGGCCAGGGGTGCTCACAGAGCCACTGGTCCTCATGCTGCCTTGGAAGGATGAGGAAGCAGGTTCTGGTGTCAGGAAAGATGGAGGAGGTGGTGATGGTGGTGGTGGTGGTGGTGATGGTGGTGGTGATGGGCAGCAGTCATCAAGTACTTCACCAAGAAGAGAAGGAAAGAAGGCATAGAGCAAGCACTTTTCCCTCAGAGCCCCTCATAGCAGGGGTTGCCATATCCAGGGTGGATCTTCTGACTTCTAATTAACGAATCAAGATCTCTCACAGGCATGCCCAGAAGCTAGGCTAATCTACATAGCCCCCGACAGGGTTTCCTAGAAGTGTGCCTCAAGATGATTCTAGATCCTGCCAAGTTGGCTATCTATGAGCCGTCACAGGAGGCCTGTCAGACTTCACACTGAGGGGTTGTATGACAAACTGGAGCTGTTGTGATACTTAAAGTCAGGGTACAGAGTACCCCAAGTCAATAAAATCAGAGTAGGCCTGGCTGGGAGCAAGCAAGCAGCCAACACTGAGACTTGGTCAAGAGGAACCAAAGAAAGCATTTCACTAAGGGTTTTTCAACACTCTGCAAGTCACTGACAAAAAAGTGTGACTGGAGCCAGTTCTAGGACTCAGGGGACCAGTTAGTGTGACAGGGAGCTAGCTCTAGGACTCAGGGCACCAGTTAGGGTTCTCCAAGGAACAGAACAGACAAGAAAACCCCACGTATTGAAAAGAGATTTACTGGACATTTTTCAGGTGGGCAAACGATGGCCACCTCGTACAGGAGGCTGCGAATCTAGAAGTCACTTGATCCGTGAAGCTGGATGTCTCAGCAGTCCCTGTTTGGCCCTGGGGACCTGGAGGATTCCTGAATGCTGGTCTTCAGCCTCCACGAGGATCCTGAAGAAGCAGGTTCCAACACAGGCAAGGACCAGATGAGCTTATCAGTCACAGTGAGGGAAGAGCTGTCTCCACCTTCTATGTCCTTTCATCTGACTGCCACTAGGTGTCACCCACACTCAGGAGGAGTCTTCCTGTTTTGAAAACCCTTCACACCCCTCACAGGAGTGCCCAGCAGCCTGTGTTTCAGTTGCTTCCTGAAGTAGTCAAACTGACAACCAAGCTTAGAGCTATCACACAAGCACGCCAACCTCATAACAGATCCACTGCACCGCTTGACGTGAAAAGGAAAGGTGGATGGAATGTGAGGAGCTAACTCAACACTGGCCCAGGTTAAGAAGGTCCATGCGATGTGTCCAGGGCAGTGCTAGCCTGCAGTGAGGCGGTGAGGCAACTTTTATGGCCTGCAAATATTCTCACAACTTACTGAGGAAATAATAAGCGTAGTAAGTTTCAGCATTGCTACCTGAAGAGTGGCTTCATGGCTCCCTTACCATGGACACCATAAACAAATGTTACCTTTGGTAGGAAAATTATAAACTTTTAACTATACTTGCCCTTTGGAATATGCCTCTATAAACACGAAGAAGTACACTATTAAACTGTCAAAGTTCATTTGGTATGTGAAACCCAATGATTCCAGAAGGAACACGACGAAGCTAGTCTGAAAGTATACAGACAGAGCGATGGCTCGCGTCTGTAATTTCAATACTTGGGAGCTTACAGTCACATGACTGTAAGTGCAAGGTCACCTGACTCATCTCACACAAAGACACAAAGTATAATAGCACTATAAAATCTGAATAAAAGAACTATGACGAATTACTTTAAAATAAATGAACATTAATTATTTTGGCATTACATTAAATATTTAATAATTTTATTCAAATTACAAAAACCACAAACATTTATTCAATTGCTTCAAAAAGAAGTCTAATTGCTTCAGATAACTGATACCCATTGCCTCAGGTCCCACACTTCTCCATTTCAGGGCTGCCATGGAGGTACATTTCTGAGTACAGATATAATGCACAAGATTGTGACTTCAATTAACTATAAAAGCCACCTCTAAAAGCCAAAGCTTTCTCTACCGATGTCACAGCTTGCTCTGTGTATGGGCAGCTCGTCAGAGGGTCACCAACAGGAGACAAGCTCTGTGAACTCTGTTAATGCTGGAGTGGACATTCATGAAAAGTCTTTCTCTATTGAATATGTCCCACCTCAGAAAGATTAAACCTAAGATAACTAAAACTGCAAAGCTTTTTATTTTGTAATCAAGTCAATTAACTTTCATGTCCGGTGTTTAGGTGATTCTTTTAACTTCCCCCACATTATCAAAAAATCTTACTAATTCATTTGACCATAACCATAAAAAACTGTTTATTAAAATAGTTCATGATTCCAGGAGGCATTTGAGCTCTTGAATAAAAAGATTTACTTTTATAAGTCTAACTGTAGTAACTCTGATTTTTTGAATTCTTTTACTAGCTAAAAACAATTACAATTTTTAACTCGGGAAAATTCTGTTTAGAAAACCAAAAGCTGTGATGGTTCTAAAAGCTCCCAAATACACTTTACTGATACTGAATCAGAATTCTAGTCTCTGCAAGGATGCCGCACAAGCGCCTCTTGAAACTGTCGTTGTGCGTCATGGTTATCAGCCAAGTTAGAAACTTTGTTTTTAGCATTGGCTCTTTCGTCTTTTCTACCCAAAAATTACTATCTTCGGGTAACGAACGCTTTTGAAGTATTTAAGAGATAAAATGAACATCGCTGGCTGTTTCATCGTGAGTGCCACTGCTGCCTGACACAACCAATGTTCTCCCTAGAGAGCTAGCTCTAGAGCAAATATGAATGCAACCAATGTTCTCCCTGGTGAGCTAGCTCTAGAGCAAATGCTGACGCAGCCCACGGGGAGAGCTAGCTCTAGAGCAAATAATGATACAGCCCACGGGAGAGCTAGCTCTAGAGCAAATACAGACGCAGCCAATGTTCTCCCTGGAGCTAGCTCTAGAGCAAATACTGACGCAGCCCATGCTCTTCCTGGACAGCTAGCTCTAGAGCAAATGCTGACGCAGCCAATGTTCTCTCTGGAGAGCTAGCTCTAGAGCAAATGCTGATGCAGCCCATGCTCTCCCTGGAGAGCTAGCTCTAGAGCAAATACCGACTTTCATCCTGAAGCTCACACTTGTCTACTGAATCGGTCACCCAATGTTCTTGCAGGATTTTAAACTTTTTCTTAAGAGTCCTCCTGAAAGCTTTGAAGTCTGCAACTCGGCTCGGATCTTCCCCAACGATCACATGAGACACCCCCTCAGATAAGCAGGACACTACCCTGGCTCCATGAAACCGCAGCTCAAGCGCTGTCACACCTAATCTCGTTGCTTCGATTTTGGAGCTCAAGTCGTTGACAACAGCATACAAGTCCAGATACACGGTGCAATGCCGAAACATACTGAGAGGAGAGTGATCCCAGGAATAGCGGTATTCTAGGTCGGCGATCACGGGGGCCATTTCTTCAGGAGTCTGCCGCTCCCTGGGTTTAATTCCTGAAAACACTTCTTTCAGTTGATCCAAATCTGTATCAACAAAATAGCTATCACCGTAGCAATCATATTCACGGGCAAAGTGCTGCTTTGTTGACGGGCACATGTGAACCATGAAGCGAGGCTGCCATGGCACACACGTTTTTGTTTTAAAACACTCCAGCAGCCACTCGGGCTTGACAACATCGTGTTCGTCAGAGGAGATAATGTTCCTCACTCTGATGTTCCTGCACCCTGCGATCACACAGTACGTTTCTGGGCCTGGATTCTGCACAACGCAGCCACCAAGTTCTGCAATTCTGTTCTCCAGGTCAGGCTTGGGATAACCCTCCACCCCAGTCATAACGCAAAACTCAACGTCCTCAAATACATTAGAAACCTTACTTACATTAGAGAGGTTAGGTGCTTTCAAGTGTTCGATAATTCCGATGGTTTTCTTCATTTTGGAAACGGGTTTCCGCCTCTTTTCTCTAGGTTCATCATCGTCACCGACATGAAGGTGCTTTGTGGCAAGCTTCCCGGATGCTCTCCCCCTCAGTTCTTCCAGGTCACCCAGGGTCATACACTCATGCCACTCCTTGTCATCTCTGATCTTCTCGATGCGTGGGAAGCGCAGTGTGGTCCCAGTCTTGTACATGTCACTGGGGACGATCTCTGCCGCCTTGATCTGGACAATCACGGAGTGATGGGGCTCGATGTACACTTCCGGCTTCTCTGTGCCGCATAAAATGCTACTCGGTGGAGATTTCTTATGGTAAGGCTTCCAATGTTTGGCCAATTTCAGGCCAAGGTCATAGAGCTCCTTCATGGTGTATCCTGACCCAACACGGCACAGAGAATGGAACACAGATGGCCTCTGACCGTGAGGCGGCGCCTCTGCCACCGCACACAAAAAGTGAGACATCATGCCGCCTCGAGAACCTTTACCCCAGTAGCCCCCCACAATTAAGAGATCTAATTCATCCATTAATCCAGTGACATACTCTGGTTTAATTTTTAGCCACCCTTCACCTCTTTTGTCTGGCTTGTAAATTGACAGAGGGTGTTTAACCATGATGCCCTCCTCTCTGTTATCAATGGCTTCATTTAAGGCATCCACCACCTCATTCTTCGTGTGAGCTAGCTTTTTCTGCACGATCTCTATTCGACCCTGGATGGGTGTCAAAGTATTGCTAAGGATCTCATATCTCTTCCTCAGGGTCTCACGCCCTAGCTTCTTATTATTAACCATCAACACGTCGAAGACACAGTAACACGTCTGCAGGTCGGAATCCTCCACCATCCTCTTGATGTCAAACTTGACCCCCTTCTGCATGAACGTCTGTGTGGTCGGGTTGTAGGCCATCATCTCGCCGTCGAGGATGCACTCTTGCACATCTGTGCGGAAGGCATCGTGGATGAAGGGGGTGAGGGAGCCTTCCTGGGGGGATGCGCCAAACTGATCGGTGTAGTTATAGCCGTTTCTGGAGAAGTACTGATACACTTCCCCATCTTTGTGCATCTGCATGCGTTCGCCGTCCAGCTTGGTCTCAATGTAGAAACTCTGCTGCTTCATGTCCTTTTCCACGCGCTCCACATCGGCTACGGCGGCTAGCATCGGCTTAAAGGCAGAAAAGAGGCTGATAGAGATATCACTGAGCCCTATGGAGGGGTCATGGAGTTGCTGGCAGACCTTCTGCAGATCCGTGGTGACGTTGTGCAACTCAACTGCGTCGTTATGAAAAACGTTAAGTATCGTTTGCTGACTGACACCAAGCTTTAAGTCTTTAATGATCATGCGGATCAGCCACTTTTGCTCCAGGGCTGAACTCTGTGATATCAACTGGAGAAGGCTCTTCTTTACTAGGTCTTTTCTTTTGCCAGAATTGTTGCTGGCGACTAAGTCCAAGAGTTCATTCACCTGCTGTATGGTTAAGCTTCCTTTCTGTAAGCACCGCGGCTTTAACACGAAGTACGCAATCATCGCAAAGTCCCCAGCATCCGTGCGAGCGCCAGTCGGTGTTCGATAATTGAGGAGCTTCAGGGCGTCCTTGCCTTCCCTTGGTAAGTTCAGTAACTCGATGTAAAGCTTGGCAAGCATGGTTTCTTTGATACCATAAGCCATCCTCTCTCTCTCTAACTGAGGAAGAATAAGTCTCATGGCTGGGTAAAAGGAGTCCGGAACGTCCTTCTTGTTCTTATGAAGGGCATCGTGAAATTTCCTCCAAGAATCTAAAAATTCCTTAAAGTGCCTGATCTTCTCTGCACGGTCTTTACTTTTATGTATCCGCTCCAATGTGGAACATAAATCTGCAAAGGGGACATGAGCTGCGACGGTTTGTGAAGACTGTGAGGTAGCCATAGAAGGGGCAGCAAGTCCTCTGATTTGAACTGATAAAGCAAAGAGAGAGTAACTTTAAGTGGCAGTTGCAATCTATAACTATTTAAAACATTGAGCTTAGAGGGGTGATTTGGATCCCAATACCTATTCATAGTTGTCAAGGAAAGCAGGTCAATGCAGTAAATGACGAACCCACACGCAGCGACTTTTCCTGCTGCCCTGACTGGCATTTCCCATCCGGTCTCAACAGCTTCACGTCCTGTAACTGAGCCCCATTTATCTTACATGTTAACATCACTGGCATTCTATCACCTAAGTATTTAGCACAGAACACAAGAATACTCTTTCTAATAATGAAAAGTTGAGTGAGATGAGGTAAACTTATTTCCCAGTCTCTGAGGAAAGTCTGTTATGCTTCGTCTTTCTTGGACAATCATACAGCACTCAAAACAAACGACACGCTGCCAGTGCCTTTAAGGAATCACTTGCTTGTTGAACCGGAACCTGATTTCTCAGGCATTCTGAAATCCAAATCATTGCTGACAAGACAAACCAACGTCTGCATCCATCTTCATTCCTTCACTGACGGCTAAGACAGATCCTCTGCCACTCAGAACCAGCTGGAGTCCTGTCGCCATAACAGCCCCATTTACACCTGTTTCTATCACAGTTACACAAATATCAATGCATTATTTTAGCTCTTTTGGATTCTATCTTTGCGCTTGCTATTTCCCAAATGTTTGGTGATTACATACAAGCCAGACATTATGCTATGGCCAATATAATTCTGCTTTGCGGTAGCATATGTTCTATACGGAATAAAGAGTACAATAAGAGAAACCTGTTAACACATTAAATGCTTAACAAAAAGAAAATTAAAACCCTAACAATCACCGCCCTTTCACCAAAGACATCTAAAATCAAGGAAGTAACTGAGTAGGGTCTAGAATGATTCCTAACATGGTTATACACGTATGGAATTTGTCTGACATTTTAAATATCCCTGAAAGTTCTCTAGGGATCTATGTCAGTCACTTTAACATACTTTTTTAGTTTTAGCTTTGGGGCCTGTCCTGGAACTAGCTCTTGTAGACCAGGCTGGCCTCAAACTCACAAAGATCCGCCTGCCTCTGCCTCCCAAGGGCTGGGATTAAAGGAGTGTGCCACCACTGCCCGGCTTTAACACGGTTTATATTGCATAACAGTCTAGCAAGTTTTCTAAAAGTGATTTCAAGCAAAAGGTAAGTTCCAGGAATCAAATCATGCCTCATCACGTGACTTCAGACAACAGCATCTGGGTGGGCAATGGTGATTATGAAAGATCCCACCCTCCACTTCTCCGCCCCACAAAGAAAAGCCTTGCACCAAGTGCTAATTTGTGCTATCCATGAGTATATTGCAGATTTGCTTGCAGAACTAATTACTAAATGCTTACAAGGGATTTGTGGGAAAGCACAAAGGATGGGGACTGGGCTGGTTAAACACCAACACCAGCACAACTGGCTGCGGTTCTGCCCGCACCGGCAATAATTCACAGCCAGTACTTGTGGCCCATGGGGGACAGCAACAAACCTCCCTTTTCGGTCTTATTTTTCACAGAGAAAACCCAGTTACCCGGTCGGCGAGATCAAGAGAAGCCCACCTGGGGCTGTAGCTCCTGACGTTTCTAACTGCATTTTCGTTGACTGCCTCCCCTGCTGCAGCTGGCTCGCATAACTGACTGCACCACCTGCTTCTGTCAAAGGGGAACACGATGGTGCACAATCTCAGACGCCATTCTAACTCTAACTTCTACCCAACTCACATAAACGAAGCATATTAAGAAATTCGTTCTGAATGCTCAAGTATAGGCACATTGTCTATAGGTCTCTCTGCAGAATGCATGTGGTCTCTAACGTTTCCTCAACAAACTGGAGCAAGCGATTCAGGTGAGTTTATACTCACGGTGTGCTGCAGGAAACGGTGAATACACGCGCATCTTAAAATAACTATACTCGCAGATAACAGATTGCAAATTGCTCTAAGAACACACAACTTTTGCTCAATACAACTGCAAGGGAAGTTATATATCTGAATCTCTGCTTTTAACCCCATCTCCAATTTTATTTTACTCTTTTTGTTTTGCATTCTGAGGTTTGAGATAATGCTTTCCATTTGCAATAAGAAAAAAATTATGATCGTTGTAGATAGGCTTCAGGCGCTTAAGTTCAAACGCACTCTTACACTTTCTAACACTCGATAAAATCGACTACCACAAGCTCTCGAAGGCGCTCAAGCCGGTGCCGGAAAAGTCAGAAAGACTGACACTTGTTACTTCAACGTCTGCTAACCTAAGCAACCTGGGCGGCTGGGGTGGGAAGGGGGAGCTGTGTGCAGAGGATCACCGCCACTGTCAGAAGGGATGTAAGCAATTGGAACGAACATGATGCCATCCCTCGGTGGCTGCCAAGTGCAGGAAGGATGCCAGCCTCACCAGGACCTCGCCCGCCCACCCTCTCCCAGCCAGCCATACCTCCAGCCTCGCAGTACGCCAAGCTTCGCTCCGACCGGAAGCGGCTCTCACAGCAAGCCGGTTCTGCGTTTCCGCCAGCTGCTTGCCGCGCAGACGCAGTGGGGGCAGAGCGCCTGTCACAGCTTAAGGCCCAGGGCGAGTGGGATGCGCAGGCGCGTTGATGAGCAGGCCGGCGGGCGCGGCGACTCAGAGCGCCTGCTCACAGGGCCTGCCCAGTCTCGGGCTGTAACCGAGCAAGTTCCTTTCCACGCCGCTGAGTGTCGACGCTGAGCCGAACTTGAGCAAGAGGGTTGCTGCCCGGACGTGCTCGGTTTGCAGCCTTCTAGGGGACGAGCGCATCCTCCCTCCCAAAGTGTCCAGGGCTGCAGAAAACGACTTTTGCAAAATTATCTCAGGTTCTGTTTGTAGCGTTTTCACTTTGCAGAAACGACATACAACTGATATTCATAATTCATGGCACAGAAATCTACCTTCACGGACCACAGGCTTCCCAAATGTGGTCGGTGACTGGAAATAAAGTTAGCCGATAGTTTTGTTGAACTCCCACTTCACTCAGTAACTACTAGATTATCAAAATAGACGGGACTATAGACTCAGTGCCCTACATCTAAGGAACTCTTGCCTTCCACTGGAAATGTGGCTGTGACCTGCCCTATTCCTCCAATCAGAATTCAGAAATTACGGGCAAAAGGTGAGAACGCCTGGGATCATTGCCTTTGAAAGTGAAGCTTTGCTGCACGGGTGAGACGCTAGAGGATTTAGGGGCTTTAGGGGTGGTCTAAGTGCAGAAACTGAATTAGACACCAACAACAGTTCAGGGCTAGTCCTGAGGTTCCTTGTGGTCAGTTATTTTCTGTTTAGTTCGCCCTCATCTCCCGCCTGTTCCCGGTGATGTAAAGCCGCAGGTAGGAGGCCCCACTTGCTGGTCCGGGGAGACAGCTCTTGTGCCTGATTCAACCGCTCCAGGGCTCCGACGTCAGACACAGGCAGAACTCGGCACGACGAGTAAAACTGAAAATCGACTCAAAGCCCTGGCAGTGATGTACTGTTTTAGCCACACGGTTCATGGAGAAAACCAAATTTGTTTTCTTTTGTTTTCACTCATAGAATAAAAAAAAAAAAGAAATAAAAAAAAAGACAGGAGCGCTCCTGGGTATGGTGGAAAAGTAAGTGTATTGCAGATAAAAGGGAGGGCAAAACCAGAGGCAGAGATGTCTGGGAGAGTTCGGAGAGACTGTAAGAGTAAGACGTCATCAGTCTTGACAGGTCCGCTTCAGTGACGGTAAAAAACAAAATAAAATAAAATAAAATAAAATAAAATAAACAAAAAAACAGGGCAGCGTTTGGCCTCGGGAATTCGAGTCCTGGCTTCCTGCAGTGGGTGCAGACGGCGCGAACTGCAAACTCCTAGCAGTTATCTTGCCCCTTGCGGGCCACCGTAGCGCGAGGGCAGAGCCTGGCGCCCTGCGCATGCCCAGAAGGGAAGCCCGGCTTCCGACTCCGGGGAGGAAGCCGGAGAGCAGGTTATGTGGGGGCCGGCGGGGGCATTTGCCAGCGACACCGCGCGCGAGCCGGAAGTGCGGGAGCCCCGGGCTAGACGGTGGCGACGACGGCCCCTTGGCGGGAGGAGGACGATGAAGAGCGGCGGGGGCGGCGCGGGGCCTCGCTGCTGCGCGGAGCCGGGTTCCGAGCCCGCGGCCGACTGCGCAGTCCGCCCGCGAGCCTGAGTGAGTGCGGCGGGGACGGGCGGGCGGGCGGGATGTCGGGCGGCCTCCCCGACCTTCGCACCCGGCGCCTCGGAGCCCGAGTCCGTGTCGCCCTCGGTCCCCTCCCCTCCTCCCGGAGCAGTGGGTCCTCAAAGCCCCGGCTTGGGATTCTCTGTAACAGGTGCAGACCCGCGAACCCCGCGGCTGCAAGCCACGGGGCCTTCAGATCAAGAGTTTCCGTACGCTTGAAGTCACTTGGCCAGGGCTACCGTCTATGTGAAGCCAGAAGGCGTCAGGGAGTGTGCTTGACTGAGCTGTCAACCTTAAATTGACCCCCTTCATCTGTTTTGCACTTTCTACTAGGCAGAGTGGCCCACTGGCTTTAAGTTTGACGTTTGGTTTTGTGGGGGTTTTGTTTGTTTGTCGATCCACCTTGTCTTCTGACTTGAGTTAGTACGTACGTGTGTGTGTGTGTGTGTGTGTGTGTGTGTGTTTAGGCGTGTTCTTTTCTAAAGCACTGTTCTATCTTTCTGAGAATTAGTGACGGTCCCTGTAGAGTTAATGCCGTAACTGTACTGCCTGAGACATCACCCAGCTGAGCTGTGATTGAGTTGGACTTACTCGTTGCACACCTTGGGCCTTGCTGTGCATTGAAAGTGTACAGTGGAGTAGCATAAGGTCGCTGCCATCCAGGAACTCCCAGCCTGGGTCAGCAGGCCCGTCACCACATAGGTAAATACTGGCACCTAAGTTGGCACGAACTACAGCGTGGAACTGGTGGCAGGAGAGGAAGGTCCAAGGGAAGCATTCCGGAGGCTCTGTAGTCTGAGCTGGGTTCCCACAGAAAAATGAAGCCTTACCCCAATAACTTTTCCACATGCAAATGTCGTTAACTACCCGTGAGTCATTGCTGTGATTTAGCTGGGATTCAACCTGCCTGCTGAGACTTCCTTGGCTGTGGCGTGTAATAAAACGCTGGAGGGGCAGCGCTTATCGCCGCATCTTAGTCATGTTTCAAGTAAATGCTTCACCCGGCCGTTGTATGTATATTAAGAAATAGTCAAAAAGACCAAGCAAGTTGATGACAGGCTGCGCCTACAGGTAGTGCTTGGCTTGCTGGCTTTCCCCAGAGCACTGGTGGTAGCTTATCTTCTGAATGGTTTCCTGTCAGACTCTGCTGGACCAACTGCGGTACATAGTGCAGAACCCAGGCGCTTCTGGGATGTCGGGCTCTGCTACCTCCGGAGAATTGTTTATATTCTCTGTGTGGCTCATCTGTGAGCGCCTGATACCTTTCTAATGGCTGTTGCTCTGCCTCAGGAAAACCTCAGGCCCTTAAACACCCACTTGCAAATAGAATAGAACTAGGCCAAGCCCTGGTTCTTGTAATTACGATGTTTGGTGAGTGGCAGAGCTTCCAAACACCTTATTACATTTTATGCCACTGAGTCTCGTAAGTCTTAGATCCCAAAGCAGTGCATCCTGCTAAGTTTGCTTGCCAGGGGTGCAGGTTTTCCACAGTTTGGAGTGACCCTGGGAGCCTAGAGCCTAGGTACTCCTATGAAGTCTGCTTCATATAAGAAAATAAATGTCAGCTTAATACCTAAAATTTGGCCTGTTTACAATAGCTTACCATTCAACAGTGTAGCGTCAGTGTTTACATTTTAGACTTGAGAGTTTCTTTTTGTCGTTTACCATTTTCTTACTTGCAGATAAAATCTCAGAACAAATTGTTACTGGCTTTCATCGTGACAGTAATGTATCATCCAAGTTTTTTCTATGATTGCTTTTGCTCATCCTTGGGGTTTTTGAGGGGAGAAGCACAGAGATGATCCTAAATTCCTAGCTGGTGTGATTTGGAGGCGTCTGCTTCAGGTTTGAATGCTCCTGGTACCCGACAGTCCCTCCAGTGTCTCTGTAGGCAGATCTGCTCATCTGTCCCCTAGGACTGTTAGAACACACTTTCTCATTATTGATGGCATGTGGGCAACCATCAGGGCCACAGCTAGCTCGTGCCACGGTGTCTTCAGCACACTGAGAGTAGTGATTTGTGTTTGCGCGTCAGCTGTGAGGCTGGCACAGTGTCAGAACTTCCTGGCACTCACCAGCAGACGAGAAATGTTGATATGAGAATGGAGTTCTGTGTTCCTTGAAAGGTGACTGGGATCTGTGAATGAACATCTTGAGGTTTTTCCCTGGTGACACAGTTATCAGCAGGGACCTGTACTCACCGTTCTTGACGGTTTACAGCCAGCTAAACATTGTGATTCACAGAGGTTTTCAAAGATCTCTTGATGTCGGTAGCATCAGTTAACAAATACAAACTACACTCTTTTCCACTTAAAAATAATTAAAGTAGAAAAAGATTGTATCTGTGAGGCAGTTTTGACCTTTATTAAAAAATATACTTGTCTATGGTAAAGAAATAGATTTGACCAGTTTACTGTCTAATTTATTACCATACCGACAACTAAAACACTTCTATTCCTATAGCTGCATTTCAATTGCTCTTACACTTGTTACTCTTTAGGTGTGATGTTACTGGGTAAAGAACTATTGCTTGAAGGATTTAAATAGTATGCTGCTCTTAGTTCCAGGACTCATGGGGAGGCCATAGAGTTACTTGTCTTAAAGAGTGGCGCTCAGACCTTGGTTTCAGGACCGTGTTATTTTTTAACACACATGCACTCTCGTGTTTGTATGTGTGTGTACACATTGAGTTTGTACATGTACACCTGAGGCAGTGCCCTCACAGTTCAGAGGAGAGTGTTGGATCTCCTGGAGCTGTGGAGAGGTGTCCAGGTGTCAAGAGCTAAACTCAGGTTCTCTGTAAGAGTAGTGTTTCCTCTTAACCACAGAACCACCTCTCCAACCTTCAGGACCTCTTTATGTTTTGAGTAATTATTGAGGACTCAAGAGAAATTTGGGTTGTATGGTATTTTATTGTGTAAAAAATTAAAAGTGAGAGTTTGTGAATTAGTAATAAATCCATGACAAAATAGCAAGTGACATTTCTTGTAAACCTCCTGTACTTACAGAATAGGCTATGGTACTGTTTAACATTTTCAGCTTCACTTTAGTCTCTGCTTAGTGAGGCTTCTGCATCCGAGCTCCTGCAGGTACAGCATGCAGAAGTCGACCTGCACCCGAGCTCCTGCAGGTACAGCATGCAGAAGTCGACCTGCACCCGAGCTCCTGCAGGTACAGCATGCAAAAGTCGACCTGCACCCGAGCTCCTGCAGGTACAGCATGCAGAAGTCGACCTGCACCGAGCTCCTGCAGGTACAGCATGCAGAAGTCGACCTGCACCCGAGCTCCTGCAGGTACAGCATGCAGAAGTCGACCCACACACAGTTGTGG